TAGATATTACAAAATATATACGCATGAAAATATTACAGGATATTCCATAAATATGTACACATTTTATATTTTAATATATTTGTTAAATAGTATCTCAGTATATGTATTTTAAAAATTAAAAAAAAATTAAAAATTGAATTCATAAAGTAAAACCTCAGTGCAAAATCAAATCATGTAACTAAGTAAAGATATCATATGAATTATAATTTTGTTAATATTACAAGAATGAGTACATTAGAGTTTATTTTACTATATCAATGTAATGATATTGTCAAAAGAAAGGCAATTATAAATTGATAAAATAACTACAAAACAACATTTCTCATTAATAGAAATGAATCTCTGACAACTCACAAAATAATAAATAAAATAACATACCATGAAAAATTGTAATTTATTGCATCAATCTAAAAATGGTTGCAATCTAATTGTAAAACTAATGGAATATAATTAATGATAATAGTAGGTATGAAGTATGAATATATTTGAATGTCTAAAATGCATCATGAGGACAATAGGTAACAAAATAATGCTATACATGGGACTGGTAATAATTAAAAGGATTTGTCATTTCTTGCCATGAAAACAAATAATCAAAAATAATTAAGTGAGTTGATGGGTGTGTTGGTTTGCCTCACTGTGATAAATTATATGCACCCCATAATATTGTGTTACTAAGTGTATACAGCAGAATTTATCTAAAACTAATTTTATTTATTTCATTGCAAGACACTTTTCCACAGTTTTTCTGCATCACAATTTTTGTCCATTCATTCACCTTCTAAAAAACAGTTGAGCTGTTTCCAGGTTTTGTTATTATAACTAAAACCATTAATGACATTCATGTCTAAATCTCTGAGCATATAATTGTAATTGTTTCTGTCATACTGAAATTTTTGCATAATATTGTCAGTACATATTTTATTTCTTTTAGAAAGTCTGAAATTTCCAAAATTAATAGCACAGTCTTACATTATGACCAGAATTGAATAAAATTTACAGTTACTTTACGTTTTTCATCAGTTGACATTATCTTTTCAGCACTTATCATGACTCTAAACTTTTCTTTCCTACAGTCACTAATGTTTGTATGTTTAAAATAGAAATAATCAAGGGGGAAGAAGGTACAATATAAACTAAGAAAAATCTATGTGTGCACACAAAAATGGTGAACTCTTCTACTTGCTTTCTTTTAAAATGTTATGCGTTCTTATAGCAGTCACAGTGTCTACAAATACTTCTGCCTAATCTGATCTATGATAAAATTTTATTTTAATGTATATTTTGTCCTTTGTTATATCATGGACAACTCAAAATTATTGACACATAATTTCAGTAATTATGTGAATAATACATTAATGAGAGATCCAATAAAAAATAATGGTTTTAGAACTCCAACAAACTGAGATTACAGATTTTAGGCAAATCTGTTAGGCAAAAACTATAGAGCTATATGTGAATTATTTTAAAAAGAGAATAAGGTTAAGTAACTCATAAAACTACAACACATTATGAGAATTACACAGTCAAATTTTTTAAAAAAAGATAAGTAGAACTTAATTAAAAGAGTAATTATTAAAATAAACATTTGTGAATTAAGTATAGAGTAGATGGAAATTTAAAAAAAAGAGTAACCAAACCAGATTAGGTCAAAACATTATGAATAAAAAGCAGAGGAAAGTAATTATTAAAAATCAGAGGTAAAAAATATAAAAATAACTAAGTGGATAAGTAACTGGTGAAGAGGAAAATGAAAACGAGACACAAACAGAGAGAAGAATTTGGGAGTGATTTCATTTGAAATTACAATAATATAGTAACTGCTAAGTATGTTGAGGACATAAATTACATAAATAATGAAATAAAGCCTTTATAATTTAGTCCAATAATAAATAATAATAGGCAACTACAAAATTGGATAACAATAAATAATATAGATATGTCAAGAACAAATATACTTTGTAAGAAAAATATTAAATACTAAAGCAACAAAAATCTGCAAATTTAGGAATAAATTTAAACCAGCAAAACAAACAAAAACATAAAACCTGGACAATCTATAGCAATAGAAAACAAAACAAACTTCAAAATGTTATTATAATAGAAAGAAGAAGATACACAAAGATTGAAAATATAGTAATTTCTTAACATATAAATCTATGTATAAGAAAGATTAAAATGATTTTAAAAGTATAAAATGCAAACAAAATTTTATAAAGAAAGATGGGTTAAAGGGATGAGATGGAATTGGGAAGAGAAAGAGCTATGAAAATATACCTAATATACCTGTATGTATACAAATTCAAATAAATTTGATTGCTATGTACAGTAACATGTACTAATAAACTTAATTTAAAATTAAAATAAAAAGATTCAAAATATATAATTAAGTGAATAAACCCAAAATGAAGCAATGGATTTAGCTCAGTGGCTTAAGTGCTTGCCTTGTAAGTACAAAGTGCTGAGGTCTATCCCCAGTGCTAAAAAAGAAATTAACATAACATGGTGATACACATCTTAATAACTGATAGATCAAGGAGACAAAAATAACAAACTTAAAAAAAACATTACTTATATTGTTAACATGCTATTGTTCCTATATATGAACATTAATGTTTGGATTTCTATAATGAAGATACTATACATTAATAAAATTTGACTAAATAAATGCCAACTAATCAATGAGATACTGCTCATATTGCTGGGTTAATTATATCTCATACAAATATAAAGGTAGATCAAAATTCCCTCAAATTTGAAATTATAAGTTGAAAACTGATGTACATACAATGTTTTGAGAGTCTAAAAGGAAATAATATAGAAAAATAGATCAAAATGGAAATTAATTTTATACAATGAAATGCTGATAAAGCTGTACATAGATATTTATACATATAGTTTTACAAATAAAAAATTGTTCAGTAAAGGGTACTTTAAATTAATCCAGAAAAGTAAAGAAATACTTCCAGCAAGAGTAGATGGAAGAAAAAAAAAAAAAAAAAAAAAAAAAAAAGAAAATGTAGGTTAAGGAAAATATAGTAGAAAATAAGTTTCAAAGTGATTCTTTGAAAATAATAATTTCAAAAACTGTAAAATGTTTGAAAAAAAATTTTTGGTTCCAAGATGGGGCGATTTAGATAATTTTGATGACAGATGTGACAGAAATAGCAGAATTGAGGAGACTATAACAATTTGGCCTAAGCTGTGTTCAGAGGAAGTCTTGGGTGGGAGGAATGAAAGTAATGGGATAAAAATGAAGATTTTTTTGGACTAGATAAGGTGAGATGTGTATTTTTTGAGTGGAGTAGACAACTAGACAAAATTATATAAGTTGGAAGTTATAGGAAGAGATATAGATTAGAATTGATTAAAATTGACCCACAAGACCATTGTGAAATGGCATAATGAATGAATTAGAGGTCTCTAAATACATTAATTAGAGACAATTTCAAAGACATTTTATTAGGGCAATGTACATGTTCATAGGAAATTTGCCAGTATTCTGATTGAAAACATAGACAAGAATTGGAATAAAATGTGTTAAAATTTAATAATAAAGTAAATATTACTAACCATACAAATGAAAGAATATATTCTTGTTTGTTAGTGATGTAAGATGAATGTAAAATAATGATTAAGAATTTATGATCTAATTGAATGTGCAAATATGTGTGTGTGTAATTGTGTGTGTGAATGTATGTGTATATGTTTGTTTCTAGGAACTGAGAAAAGATTTCAAATAAAGCACAGATTTAGTGTGCAAAAGAAATATAAAATGAGCTAGTACACTTCAATTTTTCTGTAGAGGCTCTGGTAGAAAGAGTTACACTCAGGAAATATTTAATGCCCCTTGAGTCCATAATCCTGATTTTGTTATTTCATAATTCAGTGGGACAAACTCAATGAACAACCTAAGTTAATAAATGAATATGTGCTTTGATGATATGCTTCCACAAAAACTGTTCTTTCTGAGGAAAGCTATGTTTGCTATGATATAATTTCTTCTTAGCCTGATAAAATATTGAGTGCTTACATTGCTGGAAAGACAAGCACATAATCAGAATACTAACTTTTGGATTCATTTTAAGAGTCCACCTCTATCTTTGTGGGTCACCAAGCCTTGGAAAAATCAATAATAATTTACACATGATCAGAATTAAAGGTACTGTGACATTTCTTCTTATTTTCAGTATAATTCTCCTAACTTCAAAAAATGTATATAGTAATGAACTTAGATATTGCAAGATGAATAATAAGAAATGAGGATCAGAGGTTCTTGTTCTTAGAAAGGGTTGAATTTCTAAATGAAAGACAGAGATTTCTGCTTGAAGGGATTTGAAATAGAGAAGAAAAATGGACAGAGTGTAGAAAGAGAAATGGTGAGAATTAGAAACATCCAGCGGCAGCCCCCTCCCTCAGTGAGACCAGCTAACACTTCAGATATGTGATTAAGTTATTCTCACTTAAGAAGCTTGAATACTAGTACAACAGTGTCCTCGTTGTCACCATGATTTTCACAATCAAATCCAGTGCCAAATTTGGGAGTTATTTTCATGACTAGCTGCCTCAGCCAGTCTTAATTCTGCACATTCATTTAACAACGAAGCTCTCCGTCATCTTCCCCCCTTTTTTGGAAAAAAGTAATGGAGACAATTGTAATATCAGATTGGAGACTCACTTCGTCTTCCAGCCAGTGAGCATTATAGGGAAGCTGGGAAACGATCAAAGATTTCCTGTGCTTTCAGGTATAATTGGGGAAACTTAAAACAGTTTCTGGGAACTCTAAGAATCAATGTTGTATCTTTGCAACATCTCACTCCTGATCTTAAGAAAACCAAACCATTAGAGTTGAAAAATCAGCATAAAATATCACTAAGGATCATATCAAGTCCAAATAAGTTAATCAACAGAGAGGCTTCTTTAAGATCCTGCATCAAAATCCCAGATCCTCAGATCTAATTGTGTATCCCTCAAGTTTTAGGGAATGAGGCAAGGCTTACCTTGAGCACCCACTGAGACACAGAGGATGAGAGAAGCAATTCCCTGGAGAAAGCAGTACCCAAGCACAGTCATGGCTACCCTGGTTCTTATGCCTGCAGAATGCAGCCTCAGCTTCTTCAGATCATAGAGTAATTCCAGTTCTTAACACAGCTGTTACAGTTAGGAAGGAGGGTATATAGTTCTATCCCCTGACATTAGCACCTGTTGGGAGCCAATAGAAGCTCTGCTTAACGTTTTACCTATCATCAGAGACTGTATCAAGAGGAAACTTTCTATACTTCAAACAGCAATTACTTGCTCAATCTTCAATATCTCCATTTCTGAGATAAAAACTTCTAACATCAGGTGTCTTTCTGCTCCCTAGGCTGACATAGACATCAATATACACATATATGTGGCTTTTTCTGCACTCCGCCACAGATGTCTGGCTCAATGGCTGGCTCGACTCAGCTATAGAATTAGTCAGGGGAACTGCGCAGTGCTCAATTCCATTGCCCTGTGCATCAATGAAATGGGGATTGTGTTTCAGGAGTCCTAGGACTGCAAGGTCAAACAGCCAGCATAATTGTGGGACAAAGATGAAAATGTACTTAGCAATAAAAAGAAAAAAAGGCTGATGAGTTTTATAAATGCACAGGAGATGTGAGAAAACTATAATGATGAACATATAAAAGTACTAGTGCGTGTAGATTCCACAAGTGAGCTGACTTATGCTTGCTTTTCTGAAACATGAATCAAGATTGAGTGACAGAAAGCTCTACTAAAGAAGATCTGAATTGGCAATCTGTCTCTCCTCTCCTTTCCTCACATATTTAGAGAAATGTTCACCACCAAGGCTATCACAACATGCAGAGACACTTTGCCCAGTCATTGGGCATTCTCCCCAGGGACATGCAGCACTCACAGATTACCAAGTATTTAAAACATGAGCCCCAGTGTTACATGTGTGTTTGCCCTGACTCCATTCTTCACAGCCTGGAGAGTGGAATCCTACTTCTCCTGGTTCTTCCTTTTTGGTCTTATTTCTGTGCCTGTTTTTCTTCCCTCCACTTCTATAGAAACCAGTCAGTCAATTTTCCTATGTTTTTCTGGCTTCTACTCAATATCTAAAGAAGATGTCTCTCATCACATGCCCAGAGAATCAGTTCACATAAGCTATACTTTCAACCAAAAAACATAGCAGATATTTCAACATGTTGTCTCTTTAAATGTTTATTTGCTATTTTTGCAGATAAGCAAAACTTCAGGAGTAATCTTAAAATACAGGTTGTGAAGATGAACTAAGATAAAATATATATCTTTGTACATGCCTGAAAAATGATAGGTATTTAATGCATCTTAAGTGTTATATTAAACAAATATTGAATGTATTTTTTCTATAAATGGCAGTTAAGTTTGTCGATAACACTGTTGAGGATATTCTCTTTACCAACTTAGCTAGCATTCACTGAAACATGACAGTTAAAACAAAGCATCTAAGACTGATTTTGCTTTCTCTCTTTAATTCTATGAGTGTGATTAAGAATTGTGAATCTCTACCATTATTGGCACAACTATATATGTATATATTTCAAATTCATATGAGATAAAACATATTATTTTATTTAAAAAAAAAAACATTTTATATTAACTGACTCACAGATAACTTCAGAAATAGAGATGTCCCATGTGCATTTCACCTAGATTCACCCAATGCTGACACATGCTAAAACAACAGCACACTGTCACAACTAGGAAATAAGCCTTCTCTCCAGCAGTAAATGAGAAATCTTGAGTTCTTACTATTTACTTTTCTACTTAGGAGTGCTTTTTTTTTTTTTTCCTTTTTGCTTTACATTGCTAATATTCCTTTGGCTAATACGTCATGATGATGTTGCATTATGGTTGGCTTTACTTCCATAGTTTTTTTACTATGAGTTGGTGATACTGATTACATTTATCTGGTTTCATACATATAAATACTACATTTTTGATCAATTTTATTCTATTTGATTTCCTCTCTTCCCTTCTTCTACCTGATTCTAAGATTTCCTTCCAATTCATAGAGCTTATCTCCCTGTTTATTAACACAGGTTTTAATTTAGCTTTTTAGAATGTTTATATTGTGAGTCATGTTACAGATACTGTGTAATAATTAACCTTTGCTAACTGACTTCATTCAATAGTTTGTGGTCTCAAATTCTACCCTTTTCCTACAAATGACATAAATTTTTCTTTATTTATACCTAAATAGTGTACCATATTTTTTTATCCATTCATTTGTTCATACACATATAGGTAGTTTTCTACATTTTGGTGTTGTAAGTTTTGCTGCCATAAACATGGGTATTTATGTACATAGCAGCATGGCTTTAGCTATCTGTGAAGATACCCAAGAGAGTATTTATCTGTATATGAAATTTCCATTTTTTTCTAATCAATTTACCCTTTATTTTCTTGAGAAGTCTTCATACTGATTTCCAAACTAGTCACACTTGTTTACATCTGTACCAATAATTTCAAAGATTCATTTTTCTCCATCTCCCCACAAGAATGTGTTGTTTTTCAATCCTTGACAATGGCTATTGTGAATAGCATAAAGCTGAAGCTCAGTGTTTTTTTTGTTTTTGTTTTTGTTTTTGTTTTTGTTTTTGTTTTGTTTTTTGGTTTGCCTTTATTTTAGAATTGAAGTTGCTGAACATTTATGAATGGATTAAGATGTTTTATTTCTTCTGCAAATTGTCTATTTTTTCCAATTGTATATTTTTATATTGGATCTTTTATTTTTGGATGTCTATTTTCTTTTTCAACTTTTATATGTTCAAGATATTTTTCCTTTGTATATGAAATAGCTGATGAAAATCTCTTACTATACTGTAAGCAGCCCCTTTGTTCATTGAATGTGTCTTTTGCTGTGCAGGAGCTTTTTAATTTAATATAATTTCCTATACTGATTCTTGATATTATTTATTGTGCTATTAGGCTCCTGCTCATGAAGTCTTTGCTTAAACTTATGTCTTAATTGCACTAGTTTTACCAATATTTTGTAGTAGATCGTGATTCTCTCTTTCTCCTTTTCTCTCTCTTTTTTTATTTATTTCAATATTTATCTATATCTATGCATAGCTTATTTTTTATCTTTATATTTATACATCATTCTATTTCAGTACGATCTGTGTGCACGGTGGGAGACGTGGATGAAGACTCATCTTTCTGTATGTGGATAACCAGTTTTCGCAGCAACAGTTTTTAAAATGCTATCTTTTCCACAATATATGGTATCAGTCCCACTTGTTAAAGATCCGTTGACGGAAGGTGCTGTGGGACTGTTTTGGGTCCCCTATTCTATTCTGTTTTCAGTATGTCTTTTCTGTGGCAGTACCATGCTTTTTTTCTACAGTTGCTCAATACTGTAATTTGCATCCTGGGATGGTAATACTTTCGGTGTTGCTTTTGTTTCCCAGGATTGCTTTGCCTATTCTGGGTCACTGCTGTTTCCATATAAAATTAACATTTTTTTTTTTAATTCTGAGAGAGCAGCTCATAATGTTTGATTAGGATTCCATTAAATCTCTACATTTTTTAGAATTACGACTACTTTGAAGATGATGTCTGCCTATTCAAAAGCAAAGAATTTCTTCCTGTTTTCCAATCCCCTCTTCAATCTTTTATTTCAGAGCAATGAATTTTTCACCATAGTACTCATTCACTTTCTTGTTTATAGTCAATCCATGTGTTTAAATTTTTTGAGGCTATGATGAGCATTGTATTCAGAATTCCATTCTTAGTGAGTTGTTTTTCAGTTCATTTGGTGTTGAGAAATACTATTAACTTTTGCATATTTATTTTGTATCCTGTCATTTAGTGAATTTGTTAATGAGTTAAAAACATCGTGGTAGAATTCTTTAGATGTTGTGTATGAATAATTATGTCACCTTACTCTTCTATTCAAATTTACTTAGTTTTTTTCTTGCTTAAGTGCTGTGTCTAACGTTTCAAGTACAATATTAAATAGGAACGGTGACATTAAACAAACTTGTTTTGATCCTAATTTTAGTGGACATACTTTCAGTTGTCTCCATTTAAAATGATTTTTTCAGAAGGTTTGTAAAAAATGACTTTTACACATTTAAGGTATAGTTTTCTCAGTCAATTTTATCAAGATTTTAATTATGAATGTCTGGGGGATTTCATTAAAGCTTATTTTTCCCCCCTACATCTATTTAGAAGACAATGTGATGGTTATTCTTATATTTGTTTATGTGGAATGTTACATTTATTGATTTGGGTTTGTTGAAACCCTGGCATATGAGCTTTTTAATGATTTTTCCTAATCTAATTGCACTGATACAAGTCTTTTTGTTCAGCTTGGCTAAGATTTCTATTTTATTAATCCATTTGAATAACTGAGTTTTTAGTTCATTTGTTTGGTAATTTTTAGTGTCAGCTTTTCTAATTTTGGCCTGCATATTTAGTGTTTCTTCTCCGCACCACATTTGTACTTGTATTTTTCTTGTTTTTCTAGAACTTTGAGGCATATAAATGTTTTATTTATTTGAAATTTTTTTAATGTGAACATTTAAAGACACAGATTTCTCCTTAGGGCTGCTTTCATTGTTTCCCATAAGTTGTAGTATGCAGTAGAGCCATTATTAATTTATGATGGGAGCATTTTAATTACATCCATGATTTCTATGAAACCTCCAAATATTTGTATACTTTCTGTGGTATGTTTTTCATTGATTTCTAGTTTATTTCTTAGTGACCTGATAATACAGTTATTCTGTATTTGTCTAAGAATGCTTTATGACCTAGTATGTGGTCCTTCTTGAGAAAGTTACCTGTTCTGTCAAGAAAAATGTGTGCTTTCTCTTTGTTGATTGTAAAACTATTAAGATCCTTTGTTTAATGTTATAATTTGACTCTAATATTTTGATGTTAACTCATTGTTTAGTAGATTGGTGTAATTATGACAGAGGAGTATTCAAGTCCTCATTATGATATTTTTATGTTTATCTGATTTTTAATGTCCTGCTACTTTTGTTTTATGAAGTGGGCTATGGTCATTTTATTAGTTACTTTTCTTGTATTTGAGATATAATACCCAAAGCCCCAAATTAATATTGGACAATTTTGGTGTTT